TTTTACAAAGAATTCTTCAACACTTGTCCAACCTTTGGACGAAGACCTACTTACACTAGTGGCAGGTCCCACTGTGATCCCGCCTCCTCTTGCATCGACTCACCTGACGACAGTATATAAGCCACCTCTCTGGCCCTATGCTGTACTTCCTACAAGAGTGATGGACTGAACACATCGATTCCAGGCTGAGGGACTGATTACCTCAAACTCCTCCTCCCCTTATACCTTCCTGCTTTGTATTGGACTGATGAAGCCACTGTGTGGCGAAACGTTTCTTCAATAAAGATTCCCATATGTTGCATAAGTCTCTCAATTCTTCAATTTATCTGTTTTCAAAACCATTTATCACGTCTCTTGATAGCATTATTTTCCCGTGTGCTTGATTTAATCTCGTGCAATATCTGCTCACAAGCAAATCTATTATGAAAAGTCCCTATAGCCTAGGTATGTAGTAGGATATACCATCTAGGTCTGTATAGGAACACTGTATGACGTTCTCACAACGATGAAATCGCCTGATGACGAATTTCTCAGAACTTATCCACGTCATTAAACGACGTGTGACTGTATTACAAAGACAGGTAATAAATTCAAGGCCTGTTGCACCCGACCATAACTAAAGTCAGCAGTCAAAAAGCAACTTGGCAATAAAGAACGAAGTGAACAAAGGGGTAGTTTTTCTTCACTCATATGTTCCTTCACCACTATGTATAGTATTTACATAGCTAAACCAGCAGTATAACGATAAGACAGAGAGCAGAGCCACTCATAACAAGTTGCACTTCAAAACATGAGAGTATGAGTGGTCTAGACCAACTTAAGAGAGTCCGCCTCACAGCCAGGCGGTCAAGCACAACATCACCTTGGCTGACGAGCCGGCGCTCACACTACTGGTTAGTTGAACTGGACAATTAATACATCAATGGGGCCCCAGTATTATATTCTGAGTTGTCAGTTCGCTGGTTGAGAGGGCATGCAAGTGGTGTGAAGAACGTTGTATAAACTGTAACACTCGACGCACACCACATGGTTTATACTGATTAAAAGTATTTTTGTATTGATTTTAGACTGTGTGGGAGTCAAGTTGCCAGTTTTTAAAGCAGTTTTATTAAATTGGATTTTCTTAAATAAAAATTCTAGTATTTTTCTTTATAGAATCATGTAGAAAATTACACGTTTTTAGTGTATTTTTAAATTTGATGGGGATTGACTTTCTGGTGGCCTGGTGGCTATAGCTCTCGCTTCACACGGCTAGGGTCTGGGTTCGATTCCTAGCCAGGGTAGAAACATTGGTTGTGTTTGTTTATACCTGTTGTCTATGTTCACTCATCAGTAAAATGAGTACCTGGGTGTTAGCCGACTGGTGTGGGTCGTATCCTGGGACATTGACCTAATTTGCCTGAAATGCTCAGCACAAGCGGCTTTTTATATAGTAGTATATCATTGATGTCAGCTAGACCTGTATACCTTGTACATGTACAAGGTATTATATTATATTATTATTTTCAGGATATAGGTCCTTCTGAGTTAACATGAAAATGCCTGATGAATTAGTCACAAGTGCAGCATCGTTAGAAGTTTTGCCATTATCAATACAATACATGAACATAATATTAAAACTGTAGAAACATATACATAATACAGTGGTAATCAGTCCCTCAGCCTAGGAGCAGGTGGTGACCACCGTAGTCTTGAAGAATCTGAAGCGCTGGCAGGAAGATTGGTGCTTTTATAGTGGAGTCAGATGAAGTGCAGCAGTCTTTTGTATATGTTTTTAGTCTTCAGATTATGTCCATATATTATATTGATAAAACCACTGGACGGCGAAACGTCTACAAAGTAAAGATATCCTGATGTTGCACATGTGTCTGATTCCTTATCTTGTTGGTATTGTATACCACTGATATGAAAATGCCTCTTCAATTAAACTTCAAAGCCGTTGTTTCTTAATGAAAGCTTTGAATTAGATTTGGCGTGTGATGTCCTAATTTGCCATTTTTTATTAAAGGAACTGTGATATTAGTTTTCATATGATAACTAATAAAGGCCGCTTTTGATTCATTAAACTCTTCACTGCTGATATTTAAATGAATTATATATTTACGCTGCACTCTGCACTCTTTCACTTGCAGATTTTACGGTGTGGGGGCTGGGGTTAGGCACTATGGGGACACCTTTTTCGGATCTTGCTGTGATTGAAATACACCTAGTTTATTCCTGTCTTCCATTTGAACACTTTAGCTATATCCTCTCTAGTTCTACTCTTCTCCAGAGAGTGCAAATTCAGAGCCTTCAGTCTATTTTCGTAAGAAATATTTCTGATACATGAGATCACCTTGGTCATCCTTCTCTGTATGATTTAAGAACATAAGAAAAAAAGAACACTGCAACAGGCCTACTGACCCATGCGGAGCAGGTCCATGTGACCCCCCCGGATTAGCCCAATGACCCCCCTCCCCGTATTAGCACAATGACCCACCCAGGCTGGTCACCTCCACTCAAGGATGGAACACGGCACCAGACCCAGCAGCACAAGCTAGTCAGGTCCAACTCACACCCACCCACACCCACTCATGTATTTATCTAACCTATTTTTAAAACTACACAACATTTTAGCCTCAACCGCTAACCAGACTGAGAGTCGAAGATCAAAATGAATTTTTTATGAGAGAGCCACAGAATTTGGTTGACACAAGCCTGTCTGGAGTTTACCTGGAGAGAGTTCCGGGGGTCAACGCCCCCGCGGCCCGGTCTGTGACCAGGCCTCCTGGTGGACCTAGGCTTAATGATGAGCTTATAGAAAGTGATCTTTAATGATGAGCTTGGGGAAAGTGATCACAAATCACTTAGTTTCAATATATCGTGGAATTACCCAGATAACTGCAATCAAATCTCTGTCCCAGATTTTTGAGGACGGGTAGACATGATTTCATCGTCTACCCGTCCTCATCATAGGTAGAGGTTGTTTTGATAAGGACCTGCCTCGCATGGGCCAGTAGGCCTTCTACAGTGTTCCTCCATTCTTATGTTCTTATGACATTCCTCAGGTCACGTGCGTCACATCTCACTCTCCGCCTATATATATAATGTCTTTCTACCTCTGTATGTTAGAAGTGATCAAGGTCCCAGGACCGAAACGTTTTCTAATAAATATGTTATAGTGTTTGCTTACGTGTCTTTCTAAACCAACATTATAATCTACACCTGGAAAGTCCTAGAGGGACTGGTCCCAAATCTGCACACAGAAATCACTCCCTACGAAAGCAAAAAATTGGGCAAATGGTGCAATATACTCCCAATGAAAAGTAGAGGCACCATTACTACTGTGCAATCTATATCTACAGGGCCTTAAACTCTAATATCAACCTTGACCTTAAACGCTTTCTTGATAGTTGTGACAGAACCCACAGGCATAACACCAGAAACAAACATCTCTACGACATTCCCCGTGTCCGACTAAACCTTTACAAAAATTCAATGTATATCAAAGGCCCTAAAATCTGGAATACCCTACCTGAGAACTCTAAAACTGCAGACACATTCATCACCTTCAAAACTACCATTAGAAAACATCTTATCTCCCTGATACACCCCGTCAACTAACTTCACGAATACCACCTGGTGGTTCACACTTACACTCGCACACTCATTTGACCATAAACAGAAATATTAATCTCAGTCTTAATATAATGAATCCTGTGATACTCCAATACTGAAACTATATACTGTGCCAAAACAAAAGCATTCACACTGCTAAACTCACAAAATAGTATTTAGTCACTTAGCCATAATACCAACTTACCTCAGAATTTGTAATATTTTACATTTAAGAATAAAACTAAGTATGCCCGAAATGCCTAGCCATGCTAAGCGTTCTAGTGGTACACTCTGTAATCTCAATTTTACTACATGTTAAACCAAACAATAACCAAATTTCTGTAAACTCAGCATTGTAATCCTTATAGAGAATAAACTTTGAATTTGAATTTGAATTTGAATTTGAATAAGAGAAAACAAATGTCTGGGGCACAAGACTATTGAACAGCCTCCCACCAGGCATAAGGGGAATTACCAATAGACCCCTGGCTAACTTCAAGAGGGAGCTGGACAGAAACCTAAAGTCAGTACCCGATCAGCCAGGCTGTAGTTCGTACGTTGGACTACGTGCGGCCAGCAGTAACAGCCTGGTTGATCAGGCCCTGACCCACCGGGAGGCCTGGTCAAGGACTGGGCCGCGGGGGCGTTGACCCCCGGAGCACCCTCCAGGTAGACTCAGTCCACAGCAGGATTCGAACTCAGCATCGGCTAAGTGCCCATACTTATCTGGGGTCTGTCTGTGTGGGACAAGTACTGCATATTTTGAAGCAGAGTGTGCAGGTTCGAATTCTGCTGTGGACAGAGATAATGTTTGTAAATAAATTCCCCCGTTTGCTGGTAAGTATATACATACACAATAAGAAAATGTACTTAGAAAATTATAAAATATAATTATAATATATAATTTTGTGTGCCTTATTATTTTTGTAATTTTTCAGCAAAGTTACGGTACAGTGATAGGATTAAAAATTTATGAAATTCTTTGAGGTGGCAGTGTGTAGAATGTTGTCCTTGGTAGTGACGCCGTCACTTTATGTCCATGTAACGTATCAGGCATTATCTGTAACCTGGTTATATTTATGTCTTTATATTCACCTTGAATTATGCTTCATGTCAACACAGAGAGGAAAATAGGAAGAGGATAATTGCTTTAGGTATTAAGTTTCTATTTGAATAGTATTTGCCGGTTTCGTGCCTTTGGCAACGATATATGTTCGTATGAAGAAATTCTCTTGAATATCAACTACGTTGTTTCACAATATTTTTGTCTTAACAAATGCACATGCATACATATATGTGAATAAAATGTTAATATAAACGATAGGCAGAAGTTTACATAAGTATATGTGGCATCTGTATGTGTAGATGCATTTGTATAATTGTCAATGAAATTAAGCCAAAGTCAGAGAAGAGATTGGAACACAGCGGCTGTACGGTTGTTGACGCCAGCAGACTCCGCCATTACTTGATCTGTCTGAGGACACTAGCTGCTTGAAGATTTCATCTAAAAACATCATGGACATGGCTGAAGATACCGGATTTAAATCTGAAACTCGTGACAGGTTAGGTTATAAAAATTTCATTAGTTATTGTGTATTACAAGAATGCCATAGCTGTAACTTATAAATATAGAGTTAAATTGGCTTAGCTTGGTTATCGATGATGAATGGCGGCGTAGGTGCTGTTGTACAGATACAAATGCACGCAAATGCGAAATAAAGGAATGCAAGGGGTCAAGACTGACGTTGTATATATTTTTGTATCATTCTTGAATTAACGTAGATAAAAGTATAAAGAATTGTTTGTAAGGTAGAGTTAATGTGTGTGTGTAGAGTGTAACATGAGGTGCTGGAGCACCAACACTGACGCTCCTACAGTCATCACTTCTAACAGGAATAATGTTAAGACGACTGAAGCGAAATTATTGTATTTTGGGATATCTTAGTTGTTGCTCTAGTGTTTCTCGTGTTGTGAAACACTGAGAAGCTACGTTTGTAGGTGTTAATATACCAATGGTGTTAATTTACCAATGGTATTAATATACCATTGGTATATTATGGAAATAAGTCACTCTGTCTGACTTTTTTGGGTTATCCTAGGTTCTCTACACATATGTTGCTATGTATGATAATTCTATGTAACTGTATTTGTGTATACCTGAATAAACTTACTTACTTACTTACTTACTTACTTACCACTGGTGTTAATATACCAATGGTGTTAATATACTTATTAACTTTTTTCACTAAGGTATTTGAGGACGTAGATCATGGTAATGAATATGATATTGTGTATATGGACTTCAGTAAGGCTTTTGACAGGGTCCCACGTCAGAGACTATTGAGGAAAATTAAAGCACATGGAATAGGAGGATTTATTATTATTATTATTATAATCAAGGGGGAAGCGCTAAACCCGGAGAATTATACAGCGCCTGGGGGGGATGTGGAAGGCATTCAGGCTTAATTCGGGGAACTGGAGCACAGATACAATTCCCTAAATCAAGAGCCTCTCACCAACATCAAGGAACCTTCCTTCAGGGGGGAATAGGAGGAGAAATTTTTTCCTGGATAGAGGCATGGTTGACAAATAGGCAGCAGAGTGTTTGCATAAATGGGGAGAAATCAGAATGGGGAAGCGTCATGAGCGGTGTTCCACAGGGGTCAGTGTTGGGCCCCCTGCTGTTCACAATCTACATAAACGACATTGATGAGGGCATAAAGAGCAACATAAGCAAGTTTGCCGATGACACCAAAATAGGCCGTCGAATTCATTCTGACGAGGACATTAGAGCAGTCCAGGAAGATTTGAATAGACTGATGCAGTGGTCGGAGAAGTGGCAGATGCAGTTTAATATAGACAAAAGCAAAGTTCTAAATGTTGGACAGGACAATAACCATGCCACATATAAACTAAATAATGTAGATCTTAATATTACGGATTGCGAAAAAGATTTAGGAGTTCTGGTTAGCAGTAATCTAAAACGAGGACAACAGTGCATAAGTGTTCGCAGTAAAGCTAACAGAATTCTTGGCTTCATATCAAGAAGCATAAATAATAGGAGTCCTCAGGTTGTTCTTCAACTCTATATATCCTTGGTTAGGCCTCATTTAGATTATGCTGCTCAGTTCTGGTCACCGTATTATAGAATGGATATAAATGCTCTGGAAAACATACAAAGGAGGATGACAAAGTTGATCCCATGTATCAGAAACCTTCCCTATGAGGATAGACTAAGGGCCCTGAATCTGCACTCTCTAGAAAGACGTAGAATTAGGGGGGATATGATTGAGGTGTATAAATTGAAGACAGGAATAAATAAAAGGGATGTAAATAGTGTGCTGAAAATATCTAGCCTAGACAGGACTCGCAGCAATGGTTTTAAGTTGGAAAAATTAAGATTCAGGAAGGATGTAGGAAAGTACTGGTTTGGTAATAGAGTTGTGGATGAGTGGAACAAACTCCCACGTACAGTGATAGAGGCCAGAATGTTGTGTAGCTTTAAAAATAGGTTGGATAAATACATGAGTGGATGTGGGTGGGTGTGAGTTGGACCTGATAGCTTGTGCTACCAGGTTGGTTGCAGTGTTCCTCCCTTAAGTCAATGTGACCTGACCTGACTGGGTTGGGTGCATTGGCTTAAGCCGGTAGGAGACTTGGACCTGCCTCGCATGGGCCAGTAGGCCTACTGCAGTGTTCCTTCGTTCTTATGTTCTTATGTGTTAATATACCAATGGTGTTAATATACCAATGGTGTTAATATACCAATGGTGTTAATATACCAATGGTGTTAATATACCAATGGTGTTAATATACCAATGGTGTTAATATACCAATGGTCTTCGGTTCAGGCATCATTGGCACACCAGTTAGTACAGTGGTTACTGTGAATGTAAGAGAATTATTGTTTCAGAAGTCGGTCAGAAGAGGAGGGAGGCTAGCTGCGATAATTATAATAATAATATCTTTATTTCTACAAGTATATATACAAGGTATACAGTCCTAGCTGACAACAATGACCTACTACATAGAAAGCCGCTTGTGTTAAGCATTTCAGGCAAATTAGGTCAGTTTTGTCCCAGGATGCGACCCACACCAGTCGACTAACACCCAGGTACCCATTTTACTGATGGGTGAACATAGACAACCAGTGTAAGGAAACAAATCCAATGTTTCCACCCTTCGCTGGGAATTGAACCCGGACGCTCACCATATGAAGTGAGAATTTTTGCCACTAAGCCACAGGGCCTGGGAAAGGGGTAGACAAAGTTATAAGAAAATATCTGTATGACCTATAGAGGTTTAGTGCATTTTGCTAATTAGAAAATAGGTGCATTACACTAGGCCTTCCAGCCTACACTTGCTCCTCTCACCAACCCAGTGTCATTTGTACCATATTTCCATGTTTACCTGGAGAGGGCTTCGGGGGTCAGCGCCCCCGTGGCCCAGTCTGAGACAGGCCTCATGGTGGATCAGGGTCTGATCAACCAGGCTGTTACTGCTGGCTGCACAAGCTGACGTATGAACCACAGCTCGGGTGGTCAGGTACTGACTTAGGTGCCTGTCCAGTGCCTTCTTGGAGACAGCCAGGGATCTATTGGTAATCCCCCTTATGTATGCTGGGAGGCAATTGAACAGTCTTGAGCCCTGGACACTTCTTGTGTTGTTTCTTAGTGTACGTGCGGCACCCCTGCTTTTCATTGGGGGAATGTTGCATCTCCTGCCGAGGCTTTTGCTTCCATAGGGAGTGATTTTCATGTGCAGGTTTGGTGCTGGTATGTGATGCTATCATTTATAGTTTTGTGATCAGGTGACAAGCTTGTCTGTGAGTTGTGCATTATTTTTGTCTCATTGTTAGAACCAAGTTAAGTGGGTTATTATATCTGTCATAGACTATGTAAATATTGAGCTACTATTGAAGGTTGCTCCTTAATGGAACTCTTGGCATATTGTATTTTATAATATGTACGGCTATTGAAACAAAATAGTTATTTTTTATGCAGATTATTATGGGACAGTAGCAAGAATAATACCTGTATTTTGGATAGAATGCATTCCTCAAGGGCCAGTCATTAGCATTCACTCAGTGCTATGACTGGCCAGTCACATCAATCAGGTGATGTTCCAAAACAGTCAGAGTGAACATAAATAGATATAAATTTTCAAAACATAATCTTGAATTACTTTTTATTATTACTTGTAAATTCACTTCTGTTATACAATTTGACAATGTTGCATGCAACAATGCAAGTACCACAAGAATAATTTATTAGGATAGGTCAGGTCATGTTACACGAAATTGGCATGGTGTGTTAAATTTTGTTAGATTAAGTTTAAATTCTGGATTATTTTAGGTTACGGTAGGTTACATTATGTCAGCCAGTGGTTTTATTAATCCAATACAGGGAATAAGATTCCAAGTGGGTGAAATCATCGGTGGATAAATTGCGCCCAGACTGCTAACTTTGTGCCTGTATATTTCTGTAAGTTTTGGGGTCTGGGCAGTGAAAGGGCTAAAAACAGTGTAAAACATTAGACATTCTTCGAACTAAAATAATGTTATCTTTGTTTATTAATCACATCTTCAGGCTTTTCCTATGTTACACTTGCCCTCCATTTTGTATTCCTCACCACAAAGAAAGATTTACCCTATTTCTTGGATAATAAAATATAACCAGGAATGATTGGTCATAGTTTATGGCATCCCAGTAATTTAATCGAATCTAGTAAAAACCCATACAACAGATCAGGGGCTGTAGGGGGGAGGGTCTTGCTTGTTCTCAGGAATATCTTCAAAAAAAAAAAATATTTTTGCGACTTTGAGCCCAATTTCAGATTACTTCCAGTGTTGAAACCAACCAAAATCATCTCTAGTGTAGTAGTATATCTTTAATTCAAATGATACAAAGAAACCAATAAAACCATAAGAACCATCCTAGAAAACACTTTTAAGTTGCTATTTTAAACCAGGCACAAGGTCAGAGTTTTGCTTTTCCAATCATGCACTGCTTGGGGCAGGATTTTTTTTATAAGGTGCACACTTGCCACATAGACCCATTTGCTCATGTCTAGGCCAAAATTTGCTGCTCACAGCTTATCTGAGGGAGCTGAACTCAAAAGCATATCTACGTATGAGACAGTGAACGGCTTAAAGGTGCTGTGAATTATTTGTACTATCATGTCACTGTCAATAACTGCTTGGATGTACTGGTATGTCACTTTCAGTGTAAAGGTTAAATATATGGCTTAGTTATACTCCAGGTAGTTAATGTTTACATTATGATTGCTCTTGAAGTTCCCTTAGCATGCAAGAATGTTCTGAAAGTTTAAAAGCTTAAAAGTTTAAGCTCCACCAAAAAACTTAGCTTCACCTTAAAAAGCTTAAAACTTTACCTTAAACTCCACCAAAAAGCTTAAAACATTACCTTACTCAACCTGCAAGAATGTAAATGTGGCTTGAATTATTGTTTTGACAGGTCTCGTTCTCCTGTTGATGAGGACAGTCGTGACATGGATGGTGAAAATGACCGTGGTGGTGATCGTGATCGTAATCGTCGCATGGATCGCAGTAGGAGAACAGATAGATCAAGGTAATAAAAACGAGAAATATATCTGCATACCTGCCATAAGGCAATGCAGTTGTCTACCATAAGGTAATGCAGTTGTCTACCATAAGGTAATGCAGTTGTCTACCATAAGGTAATGCAGTTTTGTAATTGGATGTAGTACTTTTTATATTTTTTTTTCCTTTTTAATACGTCTGCCGTTTCTCGCTGAGGCAGGGTGACCCAAAATGAAAGAAAGAACCTAAAAAGAAAGAAAAAAAAGCTAATCAGCATTCAACACTTTCACCATCACTCATACACAATCACAGTCTTTGCAGTGGTGCTCAGATATGACAATTTAGATGTACCTCCAAACTGCCAATATCCCAAACCTTTCCTTTAAAGTGCAGGTATTGTACAGTGGAACCTTGGCTTACGAACGCCCCACCATGCGAATTTTTCAGGATACAAACCGTCGTTCGGTCGATTTTTTGCTTCTTGATATGAATGAAATTTCAGGATGCAACCTTCCCCCTCGAGGGAGGTTCATTAAATAAATTAATAAATAAGATATTTATTTCTTTGCAGAGGTTATAATGTGTTTACATATCATAATATGATTGGAGCAAAGAAAGCCACTATCATACTAATAGACTACTTAAGTCTAGATAGGTGAAAAGTGTACTAGTTTTGGTTACCAATTTTTTGCTGATGGTGGTGCCAACTACTGGCAGCCTTTTGAAGTTTCTCCCTACTGTTATTATTATTACTATTGTATTATTATATTATTGTTATAATAATTATTATTATTGTTATTATTAGTGGTAGTAGTACAGTGGACCCCCGCATACCGATTTTAATCCGTGCAAGAGGGCTCATTGGTATGCGAAATAATCGTTATGCGAATGAATTTTCCCCATAAGAAATGATGGAAATCAAATTAATCCGTGCAAGACACCCAAAAGTATGAAAAAAAAAAATTTTTACCACATGAAATGTTAATTTTAATACACACAAACTGAAAAAGGCATGCACAATTACATGACACTTACTTTTATTGAAGATCTGGTGATGATTGATGGGATGGGAGGAGGGGAGAGAGAGTGTTTAGTGTTTAGAAGGGGAATTCCCTTCCATTAAGACTTGAGGTGTCGAGTCCTTTTCTGGGGTTACTTCCCTTCTTCTTTTAATGCCACTAGGACCAGCTTCAGAGTCACTGGACTTCTTTCGCACAACATATCTGTCCATAGTGGCCTGTACCTCTTGTTCCTTTATAACTTCCCTAAAGTGTTTCACAACATTGTCAGTGTACAGGTTGCCAACACGGCTTGCAATAGCAAGCTGAAGTTTGCAATAGGGTTAGCCTCAAACCCTTCAAAATCCCTTTTGTCTACACATTCTGGCCACAGTTTCTTCCAAGCAGAGTTCAAGGTCTTCTTAGTCACTCCCTCCCAAGCCTTACCTATAAGGTTTACACAATTGAGGATATTAAAGTGCTCTCTCCAAAACTCTCTTAGTCAGTTGAGTTTCTGAAGTCACTACAAAGCACCTTTCAAACAGAGCTTTTGTGTACAGTTTTTTGAAGTTTGCAATAACCTGCTGGTCCATGGGCTGCAGGAGAGGAGTGGTATTAGGAGGCAAAAACTTCACCTTAATGAATTTCATGTCCCCATAAAGTCGCTCTGCCACGTCTGTAGGATGACCAGGGGCATTGTCTAACACCAGGAGGCACTTAAGTTCTAATTTCTTTTCAGTTAGGTAATCTTTCACATTGGGGGCAAATGCATGGTGTAACCAGTCATAGAAAAAGTCCCTAGTGACCCATGCCTTACTGTTTGCCCTCCACAGCACACACAAATCTCCTTGAGGACATTCTTTTGCCTGAACGGTCTGGGAGTTTCAGAGTGATACACTAATAAAGGCTTCACTTGCAATCACCAGTAGCATTGGAACACATCAACAAAGTAGCCTGTCTTTCATAGGCTTATGTCCTGGGAGTGCCTTTTCCTCCTGAGTAATGTAGGTCCTGCTTGGCATTTTTCTCCAAAACAGGCCTGTTTCATCACAATTAAACACTTGTTCAGGTTTCAGTCCTTCACTGTCTATGTACTTCTTGAATTCCTGCACATATTTTTCAGCTGCTTTGTGGTCTGAACTGGCAGCCTCACCATGCCTTATCACACTATGTATGCCACTACGCTTCTTAAATCTCTCAAACCAACCTTTGGGCCTTAAATTCACTCACATCAGCACTAGTTGCAGGCATTTTTTTAATTAAATCCTCATGCAACTTCCTAGCCTTTTCGCTTATGATCGCTTGAGAGACGCTATCTCCTGCTAGCTGTTTTTCATTTATCCACACCAATAAGAGTCTCTCAACATCTTCCATCACTTGCGATCTTTGTTTCGAAAACACAGTTAAACCTTTGGCAAGAACAGCTTCCTTGATTGCCTTTCTGGTGCCCACAATAGTAGCGATGGTTGATTGGGGTTTCTTGTACAACCTGGCCAGGTCGGCGATACGCACTCCACTTTCATACTTATCAATGATGTCTTTCTTCATCTCTGTTGGAATTCTCACCCTTATTGCTGTAGGGTTGGCACTAGAAGCTTTCTTGGGGCCCATGGTCACTTATTTTCCAGATAAAGCACCGAAAACACTGTAATAATACAAAATATTCCGATTGTATGCTTGGATGTTACCGCGGAGGCTGGCTGGTAAACAATGGCACGGGTGGCACATGTGAGGCTGGCTGAGGGCGCACATTGGACGCATCTCGGACGAACAGCGGTGAGCGGGTTTTTAAGCGGTATGCGAGGCAAAATTTTTGCGATTAAAGCAAGCGGTATGCGGATTAATCGTTATGTGATGCCAACGGTATGCGGGGGTCCACTGTATTACGTACTTGGTGAGGGGCTCTTGATCTATGGAATTGGTTCTGTGCTCCAGGTCCCTAAATTAATAATAATAATAATAATTATAATAATATGTAAGTACAAAAATAATAATAATACATAATGTATAATATATGCAATACTATATAATAATAATATACAGTGGACCCCCGGTTAACGATTTTAATCCGTGCAAGAGGGGTAATTGTTATGCGAAATAATCGTTATGTGAATGAATTTTCCCCATAAGAAATAATGGAAATAAAATTAATCCGTGCAAGACACCCAAAAGTATGAAAAAAAAAATTTTACCACATGAAATATACATTTTCCCACACACAAAGAGAAGGATACATGCACAATAGTAGAGTAGTACATGCACAGTATATATTGTGCATGTACTAGTCTACTAAATGAAGAATAAATGACACTTACCTTTATTGAAGATGCAGCAATGACTGATGAGACACTGTGTCCTGGGAGTGCCTTTTCCTCCTGAGTACTGTAGGTCCTGTTTCGCATTTTCTTCCAGAACAGGCCTTATCACACTGTGTATGCCACTACGATTCTTAAATCTCTCAAACCAACCTTTGCTGGCTTTAAATTCACCAATATGAGCACTAGTTCCAGGCATTTTTCCCTGTTCACCTGGGTGTTAGTCGACTTGTGTGGGTTGCATCCTGGGAGACAAGATTAAGGACCCCAATGGAAATAAGTTAGACAGTCTTCGATGACACTGACTTTTTTGGGTTATCCTGGGTGGCAAATCCTCTGGGGTTAATTGTTTCTTGGTATTCTCAATAAGCCACACCAACAACGGTGCTACAGCAGCAGCAGCAGCTGACAGTGCAGCAGCAGCAGCAGCTGACAGTGCAGCAGCTGTACCACCAATAGTAGCGATGGTTGATTGGGGTTTATTATACAACCTGGCCAGCTCGGAGACATGCACTCCACTTTCATACTTATCAATGATCTTTTTCTTCATCTCTATTGTAATTCTCACCCTTATTGCTGTAGGGTTGGCACTAGAAGCTTTCTTGGGGCCCATGGTCACTTATTTTCCAGAAAAAGCACCGAAAACACTGTAATAATACGAAATATTCCGATTGTATGCTTGGATGTTACCGCGGAGGCTGGCTGGTAAACAATGCCACCGGCGGAACATGTGAGCGTGGCTCAGGCCGCACATTGGACGCGTCTCGGACGAAAATCGGTAAGCGGGTTTTTAAGCGGTATGTGAGGCAAAATTTTTGCAATTAAAGTAAGCGGTATGCGAAATAATCGCTATGTGATGCCATCGTTATGCGGGGGTCCACTGTATAATAATTATAATAATACTACGTACATACTGCGTATAATTTAGTTTGAAAACACCACCACAATGCTCACCAGTGCACACGTGCTTATGGAGCTACACTCGCGGTGCAGGGAATTCTCGTGATTTCCTTACATTTCATGCAGTTAATTTGCCAGATTTCTTTCTTCTAACCATGGGTCTTAAGAAAGCAAGTGCAAAGGACAGTGCTGAGAAGAAAAAAGCATGATTTGCATAGAATAAAAGCAAAAAATGATTAATGAGCACAGACTAAGTATGAGGGTTGAGGACTTGCCGAGTGAGTGCAAGCGTAGCCCCTCTACTATATGTACCTATGGGTTTAGCGCTTCCCCATGATATTAATAGTAATAATAATAATAATCTATATGTGCAATACTAAAGCAGGAGTCTATAAAGGCCATAGCGCCAGCAAAGGGCATTACAGTAATTTCTAAGCAGCCGACCTCTGTCAGTTAAAAAATGGAAAAGCTGCTGTTGATGTGGTTGATGGAGAAACAGCTCACAGGAGATACATAGTGTAGTGAGATAAACATAAAAATTGTACATAGCAGTTCTTAACGAAAATGTGAACTCCTGACAGGATATGCCGCTCTGCATTTCTTCTCCAAGGTAAGTAAATGTCGTATGTACACCAGATCTAATTCACTTAGCCTCACAAACTCCGTTTTCTCTTATAACACCTCTGACGTTTTCATAGCTAGAATGTTCGACCACAGTCCTCCTCTCTGCTGTCCACATAATGACATATTTTATTCATTCTAGAGTATATCAGATTTCTATGTTATTTATATTGTTTATTATGTCATATTAGATA